ACTTGATGACAGGGAACACTAATTTTGAATCTTGATTAAGTGAAAAGTTTCTCCTTACACAAAAAAAGAATTTCAAGGATCAGAAGTGTTGGTGAGATTGTTGGAAATTAGAACCTTGTGCACTGTTTGTGGGAAGGCGAAATGGCACTGCCACGGTGGAAAACAGAATGGGGAGTCCTCAAAAAATTAAAAATAAAGCTGGGCACAGTGGCTCACACCTGTAAACCTACCACTTTGGGAGACTGAGGCGGGAGGATCACTTGAGGCCAGGAGTTCAAGACCAGCCTGGGCAACATAGTAAGACCCTGTCTCTGCAAAAGGAAAAAATAATTAGCCAGACAGGGCGATGTGCACCTGTGGCCCCAGCTGCTCGGGAGGCTAAGGCAGCAGGATCACCGGAGCCAAGGGGTTCGATTTTGCAGTGAGCCGCGATCGTACCACTGCACTCCAGCCTGGGTGACGGCAAGACCCTGTCTCAAAAAATAAACAAACACAACTAGAACGACCACATGATGCAGCAGTTTCGCTTGTGAGTGTACCTGAAAGGTTTGAAAAGCAGGGTCTCCGGGAGACATCTGCATACCCACGTTCACAACAGCCAGCCTGACTTGGGTTGCTTGGGATGGAGCAACCCAAGTGTCTGTCAACAGATGCATAGATAAACAAAATGTGGTCTATACACACACCGGAATATCCAGCACCAAAAAGGAAAGGAATTCTGATACATGCCATAACATTGATGAACCTTGAGGTCACTATGCTCAGTGAAATAAACCAGTCACACAAAAATCAAATACTGTATGATTCCATGTATATGAGGTGCCCCGTGGAGGCAGAGCCATAGAGACAGGAAGCAGAATGGTGGCTGCCAGGGGCTGGGGATGGAACACTGGCGTCTAACGGCGAAGTCTTGGTTTTACACCATGATAAAGCTCTGGAGGTGGGTGGTGGGGAGAGCTGAATGGGAACGCCCTTACTGCCCCTGAACTGCACGCTTAGAAATGGCCAGAGTGGTGAATGTTATGTGTGTTTTACCACGATTTGAATGATTTAATTGAAAACAATTCCACTCTTCTCATTAGTAGACCTATATTATGAAAAACTGTACTGTTATTATATTCGAATTTTGTCAATGAAAATTTTGCGGAAATTTCTTTCTCTCTTGTCGATGTAAGTGCCTACATAGCATTGCCAGTTTTGCCTCTCCTCCTGAAAGGTCTGAAATGCATGCTCTCTGGCCCTGCATAGAAAATGGTTCCCGATCCTTCCTCTAGAACAGGCACGTGCAGACACCCCGGAAAGAATGAAGGACCAAGCTGCTTCCCTTCTTCACTGGATCCCTCTGGCAGCTTCTGGTCCAGTGAAGGAGCACCCAGGCCAGTCTCTCCACCTGTGAGTCTCACGGCACAAGCACTGGCCTCGCTTGCCTCATCTCTCGCAGCTGAAATCACCTTCACCTACAAACCGACTCAGGTCTCAGCCTTAGAAGGACGCCCTGGGCTCTGACCTCCCGTTCCTGTCCGTGCACGACCAGGCTCTGTCCTGGGGGTTCCAGGCCACCTTCAGTTCCTGTATCCTGTCCCTGCTCTCTGTGACCTCTGACCCCAGGGCTCCAAGGGTCCTCCCACCTGAGCCAGTGCTCAGGCCTCTGGGGATTCTGATTGCCAAAGAGCATGATCCCAGGTCATTCTGGGTCCCACCTTGCCGGGCTTCATGCTTCCGTCTTTAGCTACACTCCTGCACAACCTGTGACTCGGGCTCAGGGAATCTGTTTCTCAGGTCTTCTGTGTATGCTTGGCTGTCCATGGCAACAGAAGGAAACCCCCCCTCCCCACAGCAAGGGTGTTTAGGCCTCACATTCTGGAAGCCCAGCGTGGCAGGCCCCTGACTCCTTAGACCCATGATGACATCAAGGGCCAGGGTATCTTCCTGTCTCTGCTCTGCCATCCTCAGCTGGCTTTCCAGTATTCACACCAGATGTGATAGTATCCCAGGAAGAAATGACCATCTCTTCCCATGACTCTCTTCTTCAATGGAGAGTGTTCTAGAAGCCTCGTGCTAGATTCCCTGTGCCTTACACAGGACTGAATCACGGAACTGTGCCCTCAGCAGTCACTGGCAGGAGACAGGGGTCACCTGAACTGGCCTCAACCTGACACCCCTGAGCTGTGCTGGGCAGAGGGCTCCTGAACAGAATTGAGGTTCTGAGGCCAGAGGGCCAGGCTGCACTCCCTCCTGCCTTGCGTGCTCTAGGAGAGACCCTGCTTGGTCTGCAAAACCCAGCTCACTGCCCTCAAAACTGCTGTCCCCACCTCTTGTCTCCCAGGCCTCATCCATGGCCCTGTCTTGGGTCCGACAGCTGGGTGCCATGTCTGTCCACTCCCATGCAGCATCCGCCCCCGGGGGAGGGGATTCCCTGACATGTTCAGCATCTTGAGGGCAGGGCGCGAATTTCACTCAGCTCCACATGCTGCGCACCCTCAGCCATGCCAGCAGAGCACGTGTGGGGAAGGGCCCGAGGGATTCCAGGGAAGGGAGAGCACTAGGTCTGCACCGCGGAGAAAGTTCTGAAAAAAATGGGAACCTCTGTGACTCAAATGAGCTGATGATTTTGTAACAAAAACAATGACTTTGCTCTTCTAGGAGGCACAAAAAGCCCTGGGCAGTGACCAACAGCCCCAGGCAGTGGCTAGGAGCCCCAGGTGGTAGTCAGGAGCCCAGGGCAGTGAGGAGGAGGAGCCCCGGGCAGTGAGGAGGAGGAGCCCCGGGCAGGGGTCAGGAGCCACGGGCAGTGAGGAGGAGGAGCCCCAGGCAGTGGTCAGGAGCCCCAGGTGGTAGTTAGGAGACCCGGGCAGTGGCCAGGAGCCCTACACAGTGAGGAGGAGCCCCAGCCAGTGAGCAGGTGTCCCGAGCAGTGAGCAGGAGCCCCGGGCAGCAAGCAGGAGCCTTGGGCAGTGAGGAGGAGTCCGAGGCAGTGAGCAGGAGTCATGGGCAGTGGCAAGGAGCTGCAGTGCGCCAGTATTCACTCCGGCACTCAGATAGGGACATCTGCACCAGCCTCCTGCATAGGCTGGGTCTCAGGCTCCTTGCTCCATGAATTAGCAGAACCTCAGATGCCGGCTCTTGAGCATGGGAAGGTGACATCACACTTCTAGTAGGTCTTTCTCTAACCTCTTCCCTTTGCAGTTATTACTTTTCAACCTAAGCCTGCCAGGGGATGACCTTGTGATTCTCAAGGGGCCCCAGGGTAGGAATGTCAGGCATGGAATTGTTCCTACCCAGTGTGCCATGCTGGCCAAGGCTTTCCCAGCTCAGAGCAGACCTCACGCTCAGCTGGGAGGCTGCCCACAGCCTTGGTGAGCTTCAGAGCCTATTCTCCCTGCAGGGGGGTCTTTAGGAGCCTACAACTCGGCAAGTCCCTCCTTAGTGAAATGCGCAGGAGGAGGCACTGCGGGGCCCCAGGCCTCCAGGAAGCTGGAAGATGCGGATGGAGTGCGAGGCAGGGCAGGGCTGGGGGTGCGAAAGGTTTACAGAGGCAATGAGCGGAATTCTGCTAACTGGGAAAAGAGTGAAAAGAGAAGGCACATGGACTTGGGTCTCGAGGCCCAGAAAGCTGAAGCAAGGGGGCCTGAGTCAAGTGGACAGGGCTCATCTGCACAGGAGCCGCTTCAGCCGACATCAGAGGGCAGGTGTGCACAAGGGCCTGCCAGTGAAGGTTTTCAAGTTATTGTTCACACATGTCACCTGGAGGGTTTGGAAACACTTCCTGGGTACTCCCAGGGTGCTCAGACAGATGCTGTGGACCAGTGGCCAGTGTGCACTAATCACGCTTTTTTTTCTTTTTGAGGTGGGGTCTCACTCTGTCACAGGCTGGAGTGCAAAGGCGTGATACAGCTCCCTGCAGCCTCAGACTCCTGGCTCAAGTGATTCTCCTGATTCAGCGTCCAGAGTAGCCGGGACTACAGGTACGTTACCCCAAGCCCAGCTCATTTTTTGTTTTTAGTAGAGATGAGGTCTCACTTTATTGCCCAGGCTGGTCTCGAACTCCTGTCCTCAAGTAATCCTCCCATCTCAGCCTCGAAAGTGCTGGAATTATAGGCATGAGCCACTGTACCTGGCCTAATCATGCTGTTTATATGTTACGATGTTTTGATATCTTGGGAGGCCAGGCTGGCTGGGAAGAGACTGTCCCTCCCAGAGACAGCTAAATCCTAGAGGTAATAAACAACTTCGTGGGAGCCTATTTATTCACATGCAGACCAACCAGTCCCAAGTCCATATTCCAACCAGCCCCTCTATCTAACTCTCACCACCGAGCCACTATTTCCTGGGCCCTGAATCACCCAGGGCCAGGCAGCAGGCACTAGGGATGGACCCATAGGCTGGCCAGCAGCGCTATTCAGACCAGCCCGTCCTGAGCTGTTCCTCTGCCCCACCTTGAAAGGCTCTGGTCTCAGCTTTCGCTGGCTCCTCTCTGCTTCCCCACCCAACCTGGATCACCCCGTGGCCTTGCAGATGGCACAAAGTGTGCCTCTCCTTTCCAGAAATATGAATAATGAAGTCTTTCAGTGGCACTGGCCACCCTCTGTGGGTGCCGGCACCTCTGTGAGTTACACTTCCACAGGCTCGATGGAGGTGTCTTGTGACTCAGTTCCTTGGTGCCCCCATGGTCTGCCCCATCGGCCACGGCTCGGCCAAAGAGCCCAAACAGAGTTAGCATCTGTAGCCAGCCCCCTGTTGCACCCCAGTTTATTTCCAAATTTCCAATGACCTCAGGGTTCATCCCTGTTGTAACGTGTCAGAATTCCTTCCTTTTTTTTTTTTTTTTTTTTTTTTTGAGACAAGGTCTCAGTCTGTCACTCAGGCTGGAATGCAATGGCAGGATCGTGGCTCACTGCAGCTTCAAACTCCTGGGCTCAAGCGCTCCTCCTGCCTCAGTCTTCCCAGTAGCTGTGACTACAGGCATTCACCACCACGCCTGGCTATTTTATTTTATTTTATTTTATTTTCACAGAGAGAGGGTCTCGCTAGGTTGCAACCCTCCCACCTTAGCCTCCAAAGCACTGGGATAACAGGTGCGAGCCGCTGCACCTGGCCCAGAACTTCCTCCTTTTGAAGGCTGAGTGATGTTCCTCTGTCTGCACACGCACATTTTATTCATTCTGTCATCCACCGATGGACGCTTGTGTTGCCTCCACCTCTTGGCTGTTAGGAGTAGTGCACCATCTCTCGTGTGCAAATATCTCTTCCAGACCTTGCTTTCCTGCCTGTGGCATTAGTGTGGGAGGGAGGCAGGTCAGTGGGCAAGCAGGTGTGCCCTGTGGGTGACGAGATGGTTTCTCTGGCAAAAGCCCTGCATGGGTCAAAAGTTGGAAAATACATTTGATTTTAAACATTTGTTCAAAATGAATCAAGCAAACACTGGATTTGCGTCTATTATCTGAGATCCCTGCTATCCCGGGTGGCATCTTCTTCCTGGCTCCCTCCTTCCCTTCGGGCCATGGTGGCATCCTCAGCTCCTCCCTAACCCATTCATTTCACAGGGCTCTTCCTTCCTCTGTTGAAGGGCACTGGCTCCTTCGGGAGGTTCCTCTGAGCCACCAATGCCCAGGATGGGTGGTCATGAAAAGTCACCAGTTTCACCTCCAGCTAGAAGTCCCACAAAAGTGAAAGACACTGAGGACAAAACCATCCTTCGCTTCTCTAAAAGAGAAGGGGCGGTGCTTCAGAGAGTGTCCCCCAAACCCATTCTTTAGAGCAGGGTCCCCAACCCCTGGGCTGCAGACTGGTACAGGTCTCACAGCAGGTGGGCGAGCTTTACCGCCTGAGCTCTGCTGCATGTCAGATCAGAGGGGCAGTGCACGATAGGACTGTGCTCCCGTGAGAATGAATGGGGCAGTTTGTTCTCACGGGAGCGCACCCCTCTTGTGAACTGCGCATGTGAGGGATCCAGGTGAGGAACTCCTTAAAATAATCTAATGTCTGATGATCAGAGGTGGAACAATTTCATCCCGAAACCATCCCCCACCAGCCCCATAGTTAGAAAGGTTGTCTTCCACGAAACCGGTCCCTCCCTGGTGCCAAGAAGGCTGGGGACCACTGCTTTAGAGCTTGTCCTCCGGGTGGAGGCTGGGAGTGGTACCTGCTTTCCATGGGGCACAGCATCTGGCTATGTTGTGGCTGTAGTCCAGTGGGACTGAGGTGGTGGGGCGTGGGGAGAAGGAGAGGAAGGAGGAGGGGTGGGAGAGAGAGGAGGGCGGGGGACAGGGGCAGCGTTGGCCAGGTAAGGGCCTGTCCGCTGGGAGGCGCTGTGGGATTCCTGGGCGAGGACTGCGAGGCTGGTCAGCGTGAGTGCAGGCTCTTTCAGGCTTCCTTCGTTTTTAATGACATTGGAGTGTGTGCCACGCAGGGGGCTGTCCTGGTGTTTGTTGGCACTGACTCCCTGAAGCCCAGCCACTGCCCCCTCTCTCAGGCCACAGATGCACCCAAGGGCAGGGTTTGTCCAGGCCTGCCTGGCCCACTCTGTGCCATCCTGCAGTGCCACCGCAGCGGCAGCACCAGGTCTTCCTTCCCATGCATGGTTACCTGTGGCGGAAGCAGCAGGTGTGCAGGATGTGAGGCCCAGGAGCCGTCTGCCTCCTAAGGGAGCTATGGGACTGAGGAGGTGGACCTCACGTTGGCCTTGACCAGCTCTGCCCACCTCCTTTTGGGGACAGATGTGCCAAGAACAGCCAGGCTAAGGAAACATGGCTCGCACACCGGAGGCCCTGGGGAAAGACTACAAAGATCCTTTTAATACTACTTTTTCCTGACTTTTTCCATAGTGTAATAATTTTAGAAAGTTTTGAAACCATAAGAAAGTAAACAGAAGAAAATTAGAATCACCTGATGCCCCACAAGCCACAGGGATCATTGTTCATGCGTGAGCCAGTTTTCCTGGGTTTTGGTAAATAGACGTAAGTGCACATTTTACATGGAAATATTCCATATTTACTTTTGATCCTTGTTTTTATCCCTTTAAAAGGATTCTTCATATCATTCAATAATCTCCTAAAACACAGTCCCAGTAACTGCCTTCATTTCATTAGACGTTGAAATGGCTTTAACTGTTCTATGGTGGTTAGTCACACATTCTTCTTCTTTCCTGGTATACATACTATTGAGAACATTCTGGAACAAGACCGCTGTACTCAGTTATTGAAATTCCTGAAGGATAAACACCTGGAGGAGAACCCCGGGTCAAGGAGGGGCTCCAGGGAGTGCTCTGGGCCCTGCGGAGGCACAGGCCCAGGCCACAGGCCGCCATGTATACCCTTTAGGAGCAGACTTTGCCATGATGATCGGCCGAAAATGAAACCACGCTTTATTTCATTTTGAGACAGGGTCTCGCTCTATCACTCAGGCTGGAGCGCAGGCTCACTGTAGCCTCGACCTCCCGGGCTCAAAGTGATCCTCCCGCCTCAGCCTCCCGAGTAGCTGGGACCACAGGTGGGCGCCACCATGCCGGGCGAATTTTATATTTTTTCTAGAGACGGAGTTTAGCCGTGTTGGCCAGGCTGGTTTCGAACTCCTAGGCTCAAGGGATCAGCCTGTCTTGGCCTCCCAAAGTGCTGGGACTCCAGGATAAACCACCACGCCCAGCCCTTTTCACTTAATTTGGAAACTTGGAGATAAGTTTTATATGGGCCCATGTGTGGCTGCTGGAAACCTCACTTTAAAAGCAGAAGACACAGCCAAAACCCAACAGCATGTTACATCCAGACCTGTTTCACAGGCAAGGATACGCAAAGACTCAAAACAAAGGGATGGAGAAAGATTTACCAACCAAATGGAGAGCAAAAATAAATAAATAAAAAGCAGGAGATGCAATTCTCGTATCGGAGAAAATAGATTTTAAAGCAACAAAGATATAGTGGTAAAAGGATCAGTGCAACAACAAGAGCTAACGATCCTAACACCCAGATACGAGACTTAGATTCAATGAGACAGAAAATTAATAAGGATATCAAGGACTCGAACTCAGATCTGGAACAAGTAAACTTAATAAATATTTATAGAGCTCTCCGCTTCAAATACACAAAATATACATTCTTGTCAATACCACATCACACCTACCCATAAGTTTAAATGAAACATTGATTGGCCATTATTAATATCCAATTTTTTTTTCAGAATAAAGCAATATTCCACTCACTCTCCCTCTTTCTCTTCCTCTTTCTTCCTCTCCTTTACTCATTTTTTTCTTCTTTCCTTCACTCAAAAAAAAGAAATCAACTTGTAAACCTCTAGATCCAGGTCGGCAATGTCTCTCTCGTTGCTTGAATTCCTTCCTTCCCTTCCCTCCCTCCCTCCCTCCTTCCCTCCCCGCTTCCTCCCTTCCTTCATCCCTCCCTTCCTCAAAAAAAAAAAAAAAAAAAAAAAAAGCAGGTGTGTTTGTTGGTGCCTCTGAGGCCGGGTGCTCTTTGCCTGTGGCTTGGCCGGTCATCGCCTTTCGGGAATTGCTTTTTCTTATCATTTGCCCTTTTTTGTCCTGAAATGTTTACCTTTTCCTCGCTGATGTGTGAAGGCTCTTCAAGTCCCCGTCATATGCCTCGCAGCAGGTTATCAGTCACGGCCTGGCCTTTGCCTGTCTGTGGTTTTGACGAGTGTACGTTTTCCACAGCCGGACCTCTGGCTTCTCATCTTCACAGCATCCCCTTTGCTCCTATGCGTAGACTCTGCTTGCACGTTTGAGGGAAGGAAGCATTTTCCTGGTTTTCCCCTGTATTTGGTTTGTTACATTTGGCTCTTAAATCCGGTGCTTCCCAATTAGGGATGTGCCCCAAAAGTCCCAGGAGTGTTTTGCTAACCGTGGGTCCCTGCCTCAGTCCAGCCAGATCTCTCCATCAGCCCCCAGGGTGGGGTGGGCAATGACAGTCAGGGGCGGGGGGTGGGCAGCCTGGTTGTTTTGGAAAAAGTGCCACAGATCATGCAGATGCAAGCCTCTGATGATGGGCGTCTTCCTTCTGCCGCATGTGTGATGTAAGATAAGGATGTTATTTTTATTGGCTTATATTTTAAGAATAGCTGATTGCACAAGTATATGTATTGTGTAAATGTGCCATCTCTCCCCACTCGGTGACATTATAATAAACCAAATTCTCAAGTATAACACAGGAGCGTTTCCCACAGTGAGCCTGCAAAGACCCAGTGTCTGTTGTGGTGTTTCTGGTTCCCAGGCCACTTGGAGGAGATCTGGTGTCCCCGGTGGGGCTGGGCTCTGATAGACCTTTGGCGCATAGCTGGTGAGGCCTGTGGCTCCAATCCAGCCAGCATCACACACTGTCCGGCCTCCCTCTGATATCAGCATAGGTCTCATGTCAGCATAAGCCCTCTGTTGCAGGGCTATGCCCAAGGATGCTCTCCTGCTCCGGGTCCTAAGGGAGGGAGGATCATAGGAGAGGTCTCTCCTCATCTTAGGCAGATCTCTTAAAATGGCCTGTAGGCAGGATTCCAGATGCCACCGCTGGCTCCCAGGCTGGAGTGGGGCCAGGACATTATCGAGCTCCTTGTAGTTGAAGACTGATGATAGGCGTCTTCCTTCTGCCGCATGTGTGACGTAAGATAAGGATGTTATTTTTAACATCCTTAAAATGGTGTTGATTACTTCCTCCCTCAGAGAGCTCTCTCCTGACTCTCATTTGTCCCTCAGCTGGACCCCTGGCCCACCGGGGACTTGGCCAAAGCTGTTCGATCAACACAGGGGAGGTGAGACCACATCTAATTAGGGGTCTGGTGCACGTGCAGTGCCATCACTATCTAGGAAAGGTTTGTCACCCAAGCACAAGGAAGCTGGACTTGGACATCTGACAGCAAAGCATGACCCATTTTATGGGAGGCAGTGAGTCTGAAAGCAGGTAACCAGGACACCCGAAAGCTGGGTGGGCGTGTCTGGAACTCTATCCCTCCCCAGGGGTGTCTTCCGGTCAGATTTACATGTGTTCTTGCCAGAGAGGGCAAGCTTGACAGCCGGCCACCCCTCCTGCCTCATCTCCTGTGCGTCAGCATGTGGCCATGTCCCCCAGCATCTCTCACCCTTTCCACTGCACAGAGCTCTGTCTTGGGTCCCCAAGGCCCGTGTGGACAGTCTGAGTCCTTCGCTTACTTGGCAGGTGTTTCCACAGCACTGGTGTTGATTACTCCCTCCCTCGGAGAGCTCTCTCCTGACTCTCAGCTCTCCTTGGGTTCCTGCCTCTCAGTCCCTGGCTGGGCGTCTCCCTTTCCTCTCAGAGATGATGCCCTCCAGGGCTCTGTCTCTGCAGCTTTCCTCACTCAAAGGGTTTTCATTCCTTCCCAGGGCCTTGCCCTCTTTTTACATGTGGGGCACACATAGATCTTTCCCAGTCTACCCCCACCACAGTGAGCGGTCCCACGGCCTTCTGCTGTCTTTGCAGGCGTCCGGGGCACCCACATTCATGTGGGCTGGTGGCATCTCACCTTGCACGTCTTCCTGCTCACTATTTGCCGCTCAGCCCCTCCGTGCCAGGACCTGTGGCTGAGTAGGTTTCCATCCTTACTTTTTTTTTTTTACAGTTTTCCTCAGGGATTATTTATATAACCCCAAAGTCACCCATTGTATTGATTTTTGGCAAATTTGTGCTGTTGTGCTGCCATCCCCTCAGTCCAGTTTTAAATGTCTCTCTCACCCAAAAAGCATTTTCTTGTGCCTGTTTGCAGTCCCCACTCCCTGCCCCACCCCTGGCTCAGAGCAGCCCCTGATCTGCTTTCACACTGCAGACCTGCCCCTTCGGGATCTTGAACATTTACTTTTTGCTGATTCGCTCCTGAGATTGGGTCTCAGCAAGGACAAGCAGTGGCTCTGGAGAAGTGACACCAGGTAAATGGTGGAGGAAGGACCTCTGGAAATTCTCACTTCCAGAAAATTGATGACAGTGCTGGCAAAAAAAAAAAAACATCATAATCAGCTGTTTCAAAACTCTGGAAATTAACCAGAGGCCCACAGATATTTAGGGAATGCTTATTCAAGAAAAACAGCTGACTTTCCATAAAAACACTTGGCTTCATGGCGCTTTGTTTGTTTTGAGACAGGTTCTTGCTCTGTCTCCCAGGCTGGAGTACAGTTGACATCATAGCTCACTGTAACCTAGAACTCCTGGGCTCAAGGGATCCTCCCGCCTTGGCCTCCCAAAGTGCTGGGACTGCAGGTGTGAACCACCATGCCTTGCTAATTTTTAAATTTTTTGTAGAGATGGGGTCTCACTATGTTGCCCAGACTGGTCTAGATCTCCTGACCTCAAGCAGTCCTCCTGCTTCAGCCTCCCAAAGTGTTGGGATTACAGGCATGAGCCACTGTGCCTGACCCGTGTGGTGTTTTAGCCCGCACTGTTCCCATCATTCTCCCCTCAGCTCCACAATGGCCTTGGAGACTAACAGCCCGCCGCTATAGTGAAAATGAGCCTATGGCAGCTGCTGAAAGGTGTACAGAGGGTTGGAGCTCCTTCAGAGTCCCATTTCCACAGAATTGTCGTTATTTGACCTCTCCGGTGGTTCCCTAAAGACCCCTCCCACAAGGCTTTCTTTATTTGATCGGACTTGGAGGATGGCCAGTATAAAGAACTGTTTGCCCAGGAGCATGTGTTGAAAACAATCAGAGGCAATTGTTGGATATTGTGGTTGCCTGAGGTGGTGTACAACAGTTGGGGCAAATAATAGGCAACCCAGATATTTAAAAGGAAAAGCTGGGAAATATGATGTCCATAGGGTCTCTGACAAGCTCTGACACTTTCTTGGGAATCCAGAAGGCCATGTGTATGGATGAGTGCATACTCAGGAGAATCTCAACTCTCACCTCTGATTAACCCCGAAGCTCTGCACAAGTGGGAAGTAAAGAGTAAGGTGGAGTTGCCAGTTGCTTGGCTGAGTGTCAAAAGTGTGCTGCTACCCATACACAGAGCCCCTCTCCAAAGGCTAAGAGACATACTGTTTCCAGGCATCCAAAAAATGTGTGTCCAATCATTTAGCTGCCCATTAAGCTAACTGAATAGAGACTTCAGTGACCACACAAAAAAAAGAAACCTGACCTGAGGTCAGGAATTCGAGACCAGCCTGGCTAACATGGTGAAACCTTGTTTCTACTAAAAATACAAAAAGGCTGAAATCAAAGGACACTAAATAATATTTCAAGTCCAATTAAAGAAATAAAGAACTGCATGAAAGATAACCACATAGGTAAATATTAAAAATAGTACAAAGGTATTTTTATTTGTAACTATTTTTTTCTATCTAATTTAAAAGACAACTGCATAAGCAATCATGATAAGTTTAGGTTGATGGGCACACCCTGTAGAAAGACGTAATTTATGCTACTATGGCATGAGTAAAGGACACGCACACACATTCACATCTATATAAGAAATTACTAGTCCTTAGTCACTTGAAGATAATTAAAGTGTACACACAACACAAAAGAAGGCAGTAATAAGTGGAGACATAGACATAAGCATGTACAAAACACATAACAAAATGGCAGATGATCCTATTCGAGAGTAATTACATTAAGTGTAAATGTTTAAAGAGTCCAATTAGAAGGCAGAAATTGGCAGAATGAATGTAAAAACAAGATCCAGTTATATGTTCTCCCAAGAAATATACATTAAAGACAACAGTATGTTGAAAGTAAAAGAATGGAAAATGATATACCGTGCAAACAGTACCCAAAAAAGAGCTGGAGGGGCTATGCTAATATCAGACAAAATAGGCTTTAGGACAAAAATTGTTACTAGAAATAACGTGGGATATTTTGTAATAATAAAGGGTATATTCATCAAGAAGCTATAACAATGATAAACATATATGCACTTAGCAACAAAGTCCCAGGATACATGAGCAAAAACTGACAGATTAGAGAGAGAAATAAAGAATTCAACAATGATAGTCATAGAATTTAAGAGCTCATAGAGTTCAAAAGCTCAAAAAAACACATGGGCATATTAATAAATGCAGAAAAAGCATTTGACAAAAATCAACAAGAAAACAGAGGAGTTGAACAACATTATAAGCCAACTATACCTAATAGAAACCTGTAGAGCACTCCACCCACTAGCAGAATACACATTCTTTTTAACTGCACATGAAACATCTTCAGGATAAACCATATATTAGGTTATGAGTCTCAATAAATTTAAAACGATTGAAATCATAGAAAATGTCTTATCTAATCACAATGGAATAAAATCAAATCAATAGCAGAAGGAAATTTGGGAAATTCACAAATATATGGAAATTAAACAACATAGTAACAAATGGGTAAAACAAGAAATCATAGGGGAAATTAGGAAATACTTCGAGATTAATGAGAAATAAGACACAACACACCAAAACTTATGGGATGCAGCTAAAATACTGCTCAGAGAGAGACGTAAAGTTATAAGCACCTACATTATTAAGAAGGAAAATTCAATTTAAGAGTATAAAGTTTCACCTTCAGAAACTGGAAAAGGAAGAGCAAACTAAACCTCATGCAAGTGGAAGTAAAAAATACAGATTTCAGTGGAAACAAATTTCAAAAGAGAAAAGAAAATGATAATCAATTAAACCAAAAATTGATTTTTCAAAGAAGATCAACAAAGTTGACAGCATTTTGCTACACTAAGAAAAAAAGTCAGACTCAAATCACTAAAATGAGGAATGAAAAAGGAAACATTACTAGCAACATTGCAGAACGATGACAATGAGGGATACTGTGAACACATGTACGCTGCGGCGGGTGGCGTGACGTCCCCGAGATGTCTGTGTCCTAATCCCTGGAACCTACGAAGATGTTACCTTAAATGGCAAATGGGATTTTGAAGATATGACTAAGTTAAGGGTCTTGATATCAGGGTCATAACTTGGATTATAAGGGAACTTTCTCAACCTGATAAAAGGCATCCGTAAGAACCCCACAGCTAACATCATCACGATGGAAGACTGAA